AAAAAAAAAAAAAAAGATTATTAGTACTCTTAAGTATAATTTTTATAGAAACATTGTGGCATTTAGATTAATCCATAATAGCATAGTTTAAAAATAAAAATCAATTGGCTGACAAATTAATAACCTCTTATGATAAGAATTTTAATTACTACACAGATTATATTACTTGTGTTGTTAGACAATTTTCTTTTGGAATACCTACATGAGAAGCCAAATTAAAAGGCTGTTTATACAAGGGATTAGTAAAAAGGAACTGAGTACTCTTAGCATTGCTACTTCCCAGGTATGATGGTTAACTCCTATCTTCATCACTTTGAGAATAAATAACCTTACCAAGGAGAATAAAGTACTCAGATTGGCCAGTCTTTAGCCTTTCTCCCTTCTTTGATTTCAGTTTTTCTAGCACCCAAATAAACTGTTCCTGTACCATCTTTGCTCAGCTTTCATAGCATTAATTATAGTGTTATTTTCTACTCAAGTTCTGAGTACACCCTGACCAGATTAAGATTGATTTTGGTTACCTAAGTAGATCACCTTGAGCCTCTTTAGAAATATAACTTATTTCCTAGAGCAGACACTTGCATAGAAGAAATCTCATTAAGTGTGTGCCACCTTCAAAAGATGACATTTCTTGACTTTCTTTTGTATCTTCTTATAATCTGCTGTTTTTAGCCTCAGTTCTATAATATGGTCAATTAAAAGGCAAAGACAAACATAGGATTAAAAAGCCAAGCTTCTCACACAAATAACCCTTCTAGCCTTTTTAATTTTGTGTTTAAGTTGGGAGCAGAGAGTGGACCAGCATGGACGAGTTTACTATGTAGATCATGTTGAAAAAAGAACAACGTGGGATAGACCAGAACCTCTACCTCCTGGGTAAGTGTCTAAATTAAAACAACAGATTTGTTTATTCAAAATTGTGGGTTATATCTGTATGCAGTCTTCCCTATATTTCTGCTTTTCCTCTTCCTGTCCTTTATCTACTTTGTGCAGACTAGAAAGAAAAAAGCTAGAGAATTAATTCAGAGCATGATGGATGATTTTTGTTTTCATTTGTTTCTGACCTAAAAATTCCATAGATTTTGTTCAAGTTTTTCCTTCTGAACTGTTTACCTGGCTCAGAGGTGCAGAGTTTTAGGATTAGTTTCTTCAAGAGTAATTATTTGAGTAATAATCATAGCACATATTATATATGTGAAGATAATGTTACTAGTATATAAAAAAAATCTTAATATATAATAGTGAAGTCATTATAAAATAGTTGGGGAAATGAAGTGTGTATTAATACCTGATGTTAAGCATTTAATATTTACGTGTATAGGTTCGGCGCCTATAGCTTAACCGGCTAAGGCGCCAGCCACGTACACCTAAGGTGGCAGGTTCGAATCCCCAGCCTGGACCCGCCAAACAAC